GCCCCGAGGCGGCGGCGGCCCGGCGGCGCTCCGGGAGTGAGCGGGAGGGCGCCTTCCCCGCCCGGGATGTGAGGACCGAGCGGAGCCCGGGGCGGGGGGAGGGAAGGGAAGGGAGGCCGAGCCGGCAGGAAGGAAGGAAGGACGGACGGACCAGGAGGAGGAGCGGCGGAGGCGGCCGGAGCCGGAAGGCGGGGAGGGGCCGTCCGTTGGGCCCGAGGCGGCGGCGGCGGCGGCCGGGGCGAACCGCTCTCGTCGCCTCCCGGGGCAGGAGCTGCGGGGCCCGCGCCTCCTCCCCCCGGCGCCGCGGAGGGGGGAGGAGGAAGATGGAGACCCACATCTCGTGCTTGTTCCCCGAGCTGCTGGCCATGATCTTCGGCTACCTGGACGTCCGGGACAAGGGGCGCGCGGCGCAGGTGTGCACGGCCTGGCGGGACGCCGCCTACCACAAGTCGGTGTGGCGGGGGGTGGAGGCCAAGCTGCACCTGCGCCGGGCCAACCCGTCGCTGTTCCCCAGCCTGCAGGCCCGGGGCATCCGCCGGGTGCAGATCCTGAGCCTTCGCCGCAGCCTCAGCTACGTGATCCAGGGCATGGCCAACATCGAGAGCCTCAACCTAAGCGGCTGTTACAACCTCACCGACAACGGGCTGGGCCACGCGTTTGTGCAGGAGATCGGCTCCCTGCGCGCCCTCAACCTGAGCCTCTGCAAGCAGATCACGGACAGCAGCCTGGGCCGCATCGCCCAGTACCTCAAGGGCCTGGAGGTGCTGGAGCTGGGGGGCTGCAGCAACATCACCAACACCGGTCTCCTGCTTATCGCCTGGGGCCTGCAGCGCCTCAAGAGCCTTAATCTCCGCAGCTGCCGCCACCTCTCAGACGTGGGCATCGGGCACCTGGCCGGCATGACGCGCAGCGCGGCCGAGGGCTGCCTGGGCCTCGAGCAGCTCACCCTGCAGGACTGCCAGAAGCTCACGGATCTTTCTCTAAAGCACATCTCCCGGGGGCTGACGGGCCTGAGGCTCCTCAACCTCAGCTTCTGCGGGGGCATCTCGGACGCAGGCCTCCTGCACCTGTCGCACATGGGCAGCCTACGCAGCCTTAACCTGCGCTCCTGCGACAACATCAGTGACACGGGCATCATGCATCTGGCCATGGGCAGTCTGCGCCTCTCGGGGCTGGATGTGTCGTTCTGTGACAAAGTGGGGGATCAGAGTCTGGCGTACATAGCCCAGGGGCTGGACGGCCTGAAGTCCCTCTCCCTCTGCTCCTGCCACATCAGCGATGATGGCATCAACCGCATGGTGCGGCAGATGCACGGGCTGCGTACGCTCAACATCGGACAGTGCGTGCGCATCACCGACAAGGGCCTGGAGCTGATTGCTGAGCACCTGAGCCAGCTCACTGGCATAGACCTGTACGGCTGTACCCGAATCACCAAGCGTGGCCTGGAGCGCATCACGCAGCTGCCCTGCCTCAAGGTACTCAACCTGGGACTCTGGCAGATGACGGACAGTGAGAAGGTCAGGTGAGGGCGGCAGTACCAGCTCCCCTTGTCCTGCCCTGTTCATCCTCCCTCCACCACCGCAGCCCCCCCTCACTCCACACGCACACGTATACACAGACCATGGCAGGGGATGAGACGGGGGAGTGACAGGCCTCGGGTTCCTTTTCTCCTGTCTCCCCAGCACCCTGGCCCACCACATGCCCTTCTCATTGTATCTGGGGGTCCCCCTGCTACCCCCCCTGTACTCCCCTCTTTCTCCCTGAGAATGGAGAGTGACTCGGCTGCTCACCCACCAGCTCTGCAGGGGGCCGGAGGGCTGACCTACTGTATCCCCACTGCGTGGTTTAAACCGCGGTGGGGTGGGGAGTGGCGAGTCCTTTCAGCCGTGGGTAGTTGGGGAAAATGTCTGCCTTCGCTTAAGCTTTCATTTGAATACTGTGATCTGGTTTTTATTTTGAAATATATAAAAAGCAAACCCAACTACAAAGGCCTTTTCACCTTTCTTCCACTTTGTAACTAATCCCAGTCTCTTCTCCTTTTACAGAAAACCCTGCTATTGATGCTCATTTCATTTTTATTGTCTTTCTCCTCTTTAAATTTTTTTGATGAAATTTAAAATCATGGTCCCTTTTTTTCTGCTGAATATATTCTATATATTATATATATATAAATTATATATATATATACATAAATGTCTGGCTACCTCGTTTTAGTTTACTTTTTTTTCTCTGAAGCCCTGGAATTCTACAAGAGAGCTATTTTGAGACCGAAGCATTTTTGTGCCTAGACTGGAAAGATGCCCACTGGGTTTGTCCATCTTCTTCGTTTTGGCTTCTTCCCAAACCCCATCCGTCCAGTGTGCCCCCTCCACATTCTGGCTATGATTTTCCTTTTCTCCTTGTCCATGGGGATTTGGGGACCCAGTGGTGTCCCTAAATGTTGACTTAATTTATAGCACAAATGTGTGGGAGGAAATGAGAGTTGAACTGTTTTTTGTTTGTTTGTTTGTTTGAGATGCAGGCTGTGTCTTGAAAGTGCTTATTATATATGCAAATTCTGCCCTACCCTCACCCTCTTCCAAGTTTCCCCAAAAAGGTCACACGGCGAGGCTTCCTGTCGGGAGCAGAGGAGAGAGCTGGCCTGCAGCGCCCCTGGGGCTGCAATGTGAAGGGGAGGAGACTGAAATTCATGTCTTATCTCTGTTCTGTTAATAAAGTGGGAGTTTGTGGGTTTTAAAATTTTCTGTTTCTAAATGGAGGAATAGATGACTTTTATTTGGTCGGGGTTGGGACTTGTGGCTTTAAAAAGAATTGCTTTTGAGTAGGATGTATATTTCTGTTGGATTTTTGTTTATTTTTTTAGAATCCTCCACAGCAACATGTGAGACCATGGAGTTAAAGAAACCCAGAGACCTTTATCAATTAATTGTACTGTTTGTGAATTTGTATAAATAATAACAAAGATCCTCTTAAAACGTTTATATTCTTACAGTAAAAGGTTAAACTGATATTTATATAATAAAAGAGGAAATATGAAGTATGTTTTTGAAAAAAAAAAAAAAAAACAAAAAACAAAAACCTTGTATCTGTGAGTTATTTTTAAGGCCCTGTGTTGGGTGCATGCCAGAGCAGGAGGTGCTGTTTGTGTGCTCCTCGAGGAATCAAGGTGTAGAGCTCGGTGCATCCTATGTGGTACGAGAGCAAGCTCATGGTTAACCATTTATTCTGTGTACAGTTTACTGCTGACATCTTAATGTTTGTTTCTAGAAATGTGACTAGCCTGGCGATTTCTATCATTTCTTGGTTTTAAACTGTCAACAACATGGAAATTGCAAGAAATTGAACAAAATGAAACTTTTTTTTAAAAACCGGATTTGTAAGAGTCACAATTTCCCCAGGGTGGCCAATTTTTCTTTGGGTGGAAATGAGATCCAGGGGTACTACTGAAAAAGTGGGTCATGAGGTGTGGAAGTGGGGGAGAAAGAAGGGTTTCTCTCCCCTGAGTGGGTGTGGGGAGGATGCGGATGAAGGGCGGAGGGACCCGGAGCCATTGTTAGGAAAGTTAAAAGAGCGCAGTCCCCGCTGCTGGTCCCCGCTGCCTCCGCCGGCTCAGTCATGCATACTGGATCTCACAGTGCGAGTGGGGTCCCAGTGGCAAGCTGGAGGGCAGTTCAACCCCTCTTTTTAGCATTCTCCTCCAGGCCCGGCTGTGTTTAAGTGCTTTCCTGGGGGCGGGGAGGCTGGCCCTGCTCTGGCACATTTGCATTTTAAGCATTTCCAGTGCTGAAGCTGGCCACTCGACCCACTCCTGGAGGGTGCTCAGGCCGAATTCCGGGCAGATAAACGAATACCAACAATTCCAGCCCAAAGTCCCCTTCGGCAGACAACAGCTAACCTGACACCCCGTGGCCTGGCTACGGAAAGGGAAGAGCGTACAAGTTGCAACGGTGCAGTAACTCGCCTTCCCGGCTTCACACGGACCTTTCGTCGTCGTTGCTGAGTTTTGTCTTTTGTTTCAGCAAAAAACACTTGCTCCTAGCAAAAGCTGATGGAGAGTAGTTACTTTACTGGACCGCACTACCTTTTTCTAGGAAGAGAGCTAGAACCCACGTTTCTCCTGGGTAAGATTGTTTTGTAAAATTTCCAGGCTTTCTGCTGGAGCATATCACAAAAGCTGCATTGTTCCTTTTTGGAGAGCAATCACAATTGGGTCTAATTGAGCCTGACACTAGATCCATCTTCCTTTTCTTTGGGGAAGGCGTGGATCTCTTTCTTCCCTCTTAGGTTACAGTGCTTATTGCCCGGGGAAAAAAAAAGAAAAGTGTGAACCCTCGTAAGAAATAGGGACTTTGAATTAGGGGCAGTTTTCTGATCAAGCATTTGACCCTACCACATAAGGAGCTTACCCAGGCTATAGGTTTCTGGAGTGTTCCTCCGTGAGACTGCGTGGCTGTGCAGATTCAGCCAATGAAAATGGGAGGACTCCTAAGTCTTGGGCTCTGTGCTCAAACACCCTTCGTCTTACAGCCCAAAGTAATAACTGCCAGTGGTAACCAGAAGGGATTTCTGCTTTTTTTTTTTTAACTTTGAAGATCAAATATAAGTGTGACTAAAGGTTGGTAAATTCATGTCTAAACACTAAAATCATGGGCCTGCTGGCCTCGTTCCTGAATGAGCAGTATTTGGAAAAGGTGAATAAACCACATTCATCAGTCAAGGTGAGCTGCCGATCTCTCAACCTTTTGGGACGGAAAGAAAGGAGTGTGTGTTAACCTGCAGTGTGCTTTGCCTGGTGCTTCTAAATTTCTCTTTTAGTCCTCCAAGCAACCCGCTAAAACAGGTGTCCTGTTGTCCAGAAAGGCATACCACTTGCCTTAATTCACCCAGCCTCTAATCGAGGGCAGCCAGGACGCACACCAGGTCCGGATGTGGAAGTCCAGCTTCTGAAGCTCTAGAAGGTTCAGTTACTGATCACACCCTCGTTCCCAATAAGGTGACCTCACAGGTTGAATACACTATGAACAAGCTCTTGCCACAGCGTACAGCTTTGAAGGGAATATAGGTGAGCTCCGTTTCCACACAGCTACAGTAGGACTGGGAAGAAATGCCTTTCAAGACTACACAGCACTAAAGAAAATGAATTGATACATATTTTGTGGGTGGTACCAATCTTTAGGGCAGTTTTTAGAATCACAGGAAAAAAAAAAAAAACCAACAACATTGCTTCCTAATGTGTGCTGAAATGTCAGAGTTAACAAACCAAACAGGAGCTTGCAAGCGCGATCATCTAGAAGTAATAAACCTCGATAGGAACAATTTGGAGAGCAGTCCAATCGAAACAGCAGAACAATTTGAAAAGGACTCCACCTGCATACCTGTTTTTTAGACGCCCTTTCATCTCTGTCCAGAAAAGACTAACTGCAGGGGTGGGGTTCAGTCTCTGCAGCCTGGGAGGACCATGATAGGCCTTCGGTTAACTAGAGGGCTGAGCTGAGCATTGTTGCATAATTCTCCTTGCTATGGACTCCTTCCTGCTGAATTCCTCTGTCCCAGGCAGAGGGGGGCGGGGGGAGGGGGGTGCTGCTTGATTTATTCCACATTTGGCAACAGCAACAAGGATGCTGGCCTAACTTACAGTACATCCTTAATAGTTAAGCAAACTCGAACTGATCATAGTCTCTCATGATTCATATCAACAAATCCTCAAAAAGCAAATGTCCCTTTACACTGGAGTTTCTTTCTAAAGGTAAGGCCCTCTTAAATAAGGGTGTAGGCTACGTAGATTAAGTCATGTCTGTCCTGGTGCTTCCCTGCAGTGGTTACTAGGTAGAGGGGTGGTCTTAGAATATAACTAAAGCTGCGCTTTTGACTTAGAGCATTTGAAAAGGAGGGTGACCCCAAGGACCACTGTGCTTCCGAAGAGTAAGAACCTCTTGATTAAAAGATCAGATTTGTAAAACCACCAAACCCTCCCCAGCTTCTGAAAGCCAGTCCTCTTTTCCCAGCCCCTGGTAAAGGAGAGCTTGGGCCTCAGCTCTCAGCTGCTCTGCTATAGAAATGGGCCCTGAGTCAGTCCTCAGGGTATGCCTCTGTTATCTTGCTCTTCCCTGCATCAGACATCACTCCCTCTTAAAAGTTAATTCCATCCCTTTCGCAGAGGTCAACACCTAGATTTCATGTTAAGTAAACCCCTGAGGAGACAGAAGGAGTAGTAGGCTTTTGGATGCAATAATGTAGATCAGGGGTGAAGAGGAGGATTAAAAATTGGAAGCTAGGGGCCTCCTTGGTGGTGTAACAGGTAAAAGAGCAGCACTATGAAGCTACCTCAAGCCACTGCAGCTCAAGTTCGATTCTGGCCAGGGAGCTGGCCCACACGGCACAGCACAACTCTCCTGTCTTGCCCGCTGCTCCCCTCAGTAGTATATTTCAGTCAATCCGCCTGTCCTTTCCCAACTCTGTCTCTGGTGAACCCACCCCCGCCCCCCATCTCTGGCCTGTACCCAGCTCTTGTGTGGGTAAGTAAATAAATCTTAAAAAAAAAAAAATCAGAAGCCAAATTCAAAACTAAGCTCAAGCTTATGCATGAGCCACACATTTATGTCATTGTTGTCAACGTACTTGTTCAGATTTTAGGTAGTGACTTAACAGTTTTTGAGATGTGAACGTTGTCAAGCAGATGAGACATTCATATTTGGATCAACATCAGCTATTAAGAGAATTGGGCCCTCCCTGGAGGAACAGTGGATTAAGACGCAGCACTGTGAAGCTCTCTGCAGCCACTGCAGCACGAGTTTAATCCCCTACCAGGGAGCTGACCCGCCCGCTGCTCCCCTCAGCAGTGGATTTCATCAGTCTGCCTGTTCTGCTCCCCACTCTGTCTCTGGTGAATCCTCTCACCACCCCTGCACTTCTGTCCTGTACCCCAGTTCTTGTATGCATAAATAAATAAATATTTTTTAAAAATAACAATGTATTGAAGGTAAATATATAGCTGGACTAAAAGCATATACTCGGCTCTTGAATAGAAAAATGGGTATTTCTAGACAAATGGTGACTATGAGTGTCCACGAATGGTCAGTTTCAGTCTTTTCCTCTTTTCCAGGGAATGCTCTGATTTTGCCTGGTGGAGCCGCC